GACATACTGGCTATTATTTTATGATTTTCTGGATCTTATTTAAACTGTGTACTTTAGTAGGCCTCCAATGATCTCTTGCTAGTGGAGTAAGGGAGGACACCTCCTTTATCCACCAAGTTGGGGTAGAAACCCATGCTCCCCCTCAGCCTCTGCTGACATGGGAAAAGATGCTTCATTCCTTCTGGGTAGGGGTAGAAATTTAGATTTTTGATTCAGCCCCCACTGATACCATGAGTATCCAGAGGGGCACTTTGTTACTGTAAGATAGGAATGGAAATCTAGACTGTCCATTCAGCTTCTGCTGACACTGCAGGGAAGGAGAATGGTACCTCATTACTGTCAGATGGGGTGGAAGTTTAGGTTCCCCATTCAAGTCTGCTGACTGCAGTTTTTGCTTGGTGTTTTGGAGTAGTGTGAATATTGTCAAAAGATTTTCTATCCTGCTAGGCCACCCCTTTACCAGTACTTTTGCAAAAAAGAGGATTTTTGAAGCCCCCCCCCACCTTTTTTAATCCTAGTATAATTTTTAAAACAGCTTCCAATTTCAAAAGACAAACTGCTGAGATTTTGAGTGGGACTGAATGTAATCTATAGATCAAAATGGAATGAATGTTTAAAATTTTGATTCTTTCAATCTATGAAAATAATATAACTCTCTTTATTTAGGTCATCTTTGATTGTTTTAATATTATCTAGTAGTTTTCAGCTTAGAAGCCTTGCACATCTTTCATTAGAATTCATTGATTTTGGATACTGATATAAATGCTATCATTTCAGATGTTTCAGGAGGGAGAGTGTAGCTCAGTGGTAGAGCACATGCTTAGTATGCAAAAGGTCCTGGGTTCAATCCCCAGTACCTCCATTATAAATGAATAAATAAAGACACTGAATTCCCTCCCTCCCTCCCCACAAAAAGATGTTTCATTTCCTAATAACTTTTTACAATAATTTATTTTTGATGCATTAACTTTGTATTCAGGTCCTTGCTTGCTAAGTTAACTTATTAATTCTGTAGATTTATTTTGGATTTTCTATGTATTCAGTAATGTCTGTGAATAATAAAATTTTGTTTCTTCTTTTGCAATACCTCTTATTTCTTCTTGCCTAGTATACACTGTTGAATAGAAATTGTCCAGTTCAATGTTGAATCAAAATTGTCATAGAGGACAACCCTTCCTCATTCCTGAGCTCAGGGAGAAAGTTTTGATTATTTATTGGATTTTAATAAAGCAAATAAATATGATGTTTGCTATAAGATTTTTCCATTTATCTTTTGATAGATTAAGGATATTCTTTTTACCACTAGTTTGCAAAGATTTTTAAAAACCATGAGTGGCTATGGAATTTTGTCAAATGCTTACTCTATCAATTGTGACAATCGTTTTTTATCCTTTATTTTGAGTATTCAATCAACTTTGCCTTCTTGTAATAAACTCAACTTTATGTAATATTTTTACCCTTATATATACATTGCTATATTTACTTTGCTAATATTTTATTTAGGATTTTGGTATCTGTGTTCAAGAGAGAAATTGACCTGTAGGGTCCTTTCTTGTAGTATTGTTTCAGGTTTTGCTTGTCAAGGTTATACTGGCCTCTTGTAATGGATTGAACAGAATTTCCTCTTTTTCTATCCCCTAGAAGTTTTTGTGTAACATAGATGTTATTTATTCTTTAAATATTTGGGAAATTTTACTGATTAAGCCAGCTAGACCTAACATTTTCTTAGTAGAGAATTTTTTAAGTAATGGATTTCAATTTTTATTAACTTTAGGAATATTTTAATTATTTATTTCCTCTTTGTTTTGGTGAGTTATGTTTCTAAAAGAATTTTTTCTATTTTAATTGAATTTCAAATTTATTGGTATAATATTGCTTATAATATTCTCTTATCTTTTTAATCTTTGTTTTGTCTCATTAACATTGTGATTTCCTTTTTTGACTCAGGTTATTTAGAAGGCAGTCTATTACTTAATTTCTTTCTTTCTTTATTTTTTTTTTACTTTTTCTTTATTGAAGTATAGTCAGTTTACAATGTTGTGTGAATTTCTGGTGTACAGTAATTTCTGAAGTCTATTGTTTAATTTCAAAGTGGAATTTTGTAGTTCTCTTTTTTGTTTGTTTATAGCTCAATTCCACTGCATTCAGAGAACATACTCTGTGTAATTTCAATCCTTTGAAATTTGTTGAGACTCACTTCATTGTCAGGTATATGTTCCATTTTGGTAAATATTCATATAAGCTTAAAAAGAATGTATATTCTGTGGTCTGGATGGTCTCAGTATGTCAGTTCCCTTAGTTGTTATTCATAGCCTTCCTATCCTTTGCGATTTTCTGTCAGGTCATTCTATCATTTACTGAGAGGGATGTGTTAAAACCTCCAACTATGATTGTAATTTCATCTTTTTCACCTTATGTTCTGTCATGTTTTACTTTATATATACTTGAAGTTGTGTTATTAAATGCATATAACTTAAAGATTATTACATTCCCCTGTTGGATTGGCCCTTTTATCATTATGAAATGTCCTTAGTCCCTAGTAATGCTCTTAATTCCCTTAATGTCTACTTTAGCTGATATTGGCATAGCTAACTAGCTTTCTTTTGGTTAAAGTATGCATGATATCTATATTTTCCATTATTTTTCTTTCAACTTTTCTTTGTCCTTATGTTTTAGATGCAGCAGTTCATGTAGGAAATGCAGGATACACCCTTGATTCTTTCCCTTTATATATTAGTTTTCAAGATATTGAATTAATTCCCATTTAACTTCCAAATATGATAGCCAGCTCCCAACGACCCTTACCAGGGAGCTGGCCTGGGTAACCAATAGGATACTGTGCAAATAACGATGTGTGCTTTCCGAGGCTTTCAAGGTCTTAAAATACATAGTGGCTTTCTCCTTACACTCTTTCTTTGTTCACTTGCTCTGCAGGGAGGCAGTCATCATGTCAGGAGGACACTCAGACAGTCCTGTGGAGTGATTTATGTGTAGAAGAACTGAGGCCTCCAGCTGACAGCAGCACCACCAGCCATGTGAGTGACATGTAAGCAGATCTTCCAAGGTTTCAATTGACAGTAGCTCTAGTTGACATCTTAACTGCAACTCCTTAAGAAAGCCAAGGTCTCTCAAATTTCTGACCCATGGAAATCATGTGAAATATTAATGTTTATTTTTTGTTTAAGCTGCTAAATTTTAGAACAATTTGTTACACAGCTATAGATAACTAATACAGAATTTGGTACATGGAAGTGAGACGTTGACCTAGCAAAACCCTAAGAAGTTAGAGTGTCTTTGACAGTGGGAGGTAGCTGAAAGAACTTTGAGGAAAGGGTCAGTTAAAATCTAAAAGGCCTTGAAGAGACTGTTAGCAAAATTCTGGTAGCCTTTGAGAAGTCTGCCAGTGTGTACTTAAATAAACATGAGAAAAGTGTAGTTAGAAACTAGAGGGGGAAAAAAATCTTTGTTATGTAGTGGCAGAAAGTATAGTAACACTGTTGCCCGCAGGAATACAGATAGAAGAAAATGTACCTAGTGAGTGAGTGCTCTATCTAAAGATTTCAGGAAGAATGTTGAGACTAACAAGTGGTGAGTGGGAAAGAACAGATTTAGGGCACTCTTGGGAAAACACTGTCTAAAGACGAAGCTAAGGGTGACAATAACATCTTTTGTTAAGACCTTAGGAAGATCCAAGGTGGTGCCTCAGGGAATAGTTCAGTCAAACCATAGGACTTCTAGGAAGCTGCAGACTGCTGTCCCTTTAACAGTCTCAGCAGAAGCTTAGGGTAGAGCATTATCTCAGAGAGATTTGTTAATGTGATTTTTGTCTAGCGGAGTCTAATAAGATTCACAGAAGACTCTCAAAGTTTTTAAGAATGTCATGGTAGCAGAACTACCACCAGCTTGAACAGTAAGACAGTAGAAAATGAGGAGAAGCCTTTTAATCTCCAAACTCCTTCAGACAGGAAGTAAGCTGAGAAAATGACTCAGCTACAAACACAGGCCAGCTTTCATATAAAATGAAGGATAATTCAGTGGCAGATCTATGAACTCAGAGGTGAAGCCAAGAGCCAGAGAATTATTGCTAGGATTTGAATCCCAATTTCCTTGCCACAAGGAAATCCCAGAAGTGGATTTTAGAATTTCTGTGACTCAGTGACTCTTGTGTGCCTACCTTCCCCCACCTCCCATTTTTTCTATAGTGGTTGTCCTCTACCTGTCCTGCCATTCTATGTTTCATGTGTGTAGAAGCCAAGTGTAACTTGTGTGCTTACTGCACACTCACCTGTCTTATGATTGAGAGGAATTGTACTCAAGAAACTCTGGGTAAGGAACCACACGTGATGAGCTTCTCTATACCTATACCTGATTTAAATGATATGATCATGGACCTTGAGCTGATACTGTAATAGAACATGACTTTTGGGGTTCTTGGGAGGGGGTATATCTTGCATGTAAGGTGGACGTGAATCAGTGAGGGCAGAGGGAGGACTATGATAGCCAGTCTTTGAGACGGCCCCAGTGATTCTCAGCTCCAGGTATTGATACCTTTCTGTAGTCCACTCCCACAGTGAATAGGGCTGACCTGTGTAACCAACAGGATATTGCAGTTACAGTCCTATGTCACTTCCAAGAGTATAAGATATGAATGTTTATTGATTTCAACTCCTAAATTTGGGGATAATTTGTTGTGTGGCAATAGATAACTAATCCAGTGACCAATTAATTTAAATATCATTATGAACTCATGGATTTAGGCATATTTTATAGGCTTTATTAAATTAAATATTATTGTTAAATATTTAAGAATAACTACTGCTAGAAATGGAGGAATCCCAGAAGGGGAAAAACATGCATTGAAAAACAAAGAAAACTTAACCCAAAGGGAAGTTGGAACAGTGTCAGAGGGTGGGGAAGGGAAGCAAACTGGAAAAAGTTTGATAAATAGAAAAATCACAATGATATATAAAAACAAATTCAATATACTAGAAAGCCCCAAAAGTTATTTTTAAAGAAAGAGAGAAAACCAAAAAAACAAAATCTCACCTATATAAAAACAGAGATACTCTGATTTGTTAAAAGAGAATATTCTAGATATATGCTGTTTATAAAAGGCACACACACCTGAAACTTTGAGTATTGGTGCCCCAAATGATTTTAATGTGAAACAAGCTAACAGACACACAAATAAAGGGCACAAATTCCTTAACTGTAAGTGAAGGGTGTGAGAAATGAACTGAATAAAGATTCCTAAATAGAGAAGACACAGCACCACTCTATCAATGTGAGAGTTATCTCTGGTGTTCAGAGCTCACAAAGGCACTCAGCTGCCTATGATGCAATCTGCTTAGGGTGAGGATTCCATCCCAGCCTTCACAAAATTGCCTTTCACCGCGTTTGTTCGATTTCTGCCTAGCCCATACCAGCTCTTCCGATAAAGCCCCCGAATATTCCTGTGTGTCAAGGGTACATCTGAAATCAATTCTCCAAGTATATCAACATCCAGAAGACCAAGATTTCAGATTTGCTTGAGGAAATTCTGCAAACATAATGGTGCAGAAAAGTTGAGGATAAAGGGTTAGTAGTAAAGAGATGGAAAAGGATATACCATGCTAAGAGTAATCAAAGGAAAACCGTAGTGTCAGCACTAATTTCAGAAAAGTCTATTTCAGAGCCAAAATATTAGCAGGCATAAAGAAGGTCATTTTATAATGATAAGTGGGGAAATTTATCAAGAGGACATAACAATCTTAAATGTGTATGCACCTCATAACAGAACTGTGAAATACATGAAGCAAAACTGAAAACAACTGCAAGGAGAAATAAACAAATTCACAATTACAATTAGAGATTTCAATATACTCCCCCCTTTCAATACTTTATAGAACAAGAAGGCAGAAAATTAGAAAGGATACAGTCGACTTGAACCACACTATCAAGCAACATGACCCAACTGACGATTACAGACCGCTTGACCTAACAGCAGCAGAATATACATTCTTTGTAAGGGGTCATGGAACATTCACCAAGACAGACCATATTCTGGGCCATAAACAAGTCTCAATAAATTCAAAAGCATTCAAGTCATATGAAGTATGTCCTCCGACCACATGCTATTAAATTAGAAATCAGTAACAGAAAGATCCCTAGAAATTCCCCAAATATTTGGAAACTAAATCACATACCTCTAATGTCATTATGATTTTGATGGGCAGAGAGGTCATCAGCTGTAATCTAGGTCACAGTGTACATTGGTTAACTGGCATAAAAGAAAGAAAAACTGTAAAAATTACATTTTTCAGTGCAGAGGAAATACAGATATTAATTACCCAAGAGTTAAATTTGGGGTTGAGGTAGAGAAGTCCTTTGGGGCTAATGATCAGCATATGGGCAGGGATCTGGTGTAGATCCATTCCTTTCGTTCCCAGTTTCCCAGTCACCCAATTCCTCAAGGGTTGAGACTCTTGGAGATGCTAGTAACTTTGCAAACACTTTAATGGGTCTACATGGGGCCAATTATTCTGAGTTCTTCACCTGCCTGCTAAGCCCTCATCAGTGAACACACTATCCTCCCCAGCTGTGAACTGATGGGCTGCCCTGGGGGAGGGAAAGATGGCTCTGGGGTGTCTCTCACCAGTACAAGATCAGTTGTGAGTGCCTCTCAGGGAGGGGCTGCCTTCTCTCCCCTCACCACGTAAGAGGCTAAAGTCAGTAGCAGGCTCTGATCCCAACTCAGTCTAGAGGCCCAATGGGTCTGGCTTTATCTCTATGGTTTTTCTAATGTGTGTTCTGACCCCCATAGCAACAGCTCTGCCATCAAGTCATGTGCTTTGTTGGAATTAAATGGTTGGCTTAAGAGCATCTCAAGCAACCTTGAAAGAGAAGATTCACTAGTGTTTGATTATCATCAGGTAATACTCAGGTTTCTGGGATTGTTAACTATTGCTATGTACTCTAAAAGGAAAGGAACACCCAGGACAACCCTCCTACCCATGGGCTGATTTTCTAGGACACAGAGAACTCTAGCAACTCGTAAAAGGATATTTATATGTGACTCAGGAGGAAGGTCTATTTGCTCCTGAAGGTACCCCATTGTTTAGTGTTTCTCAAAGCGTGGTTCAGAGACTACCTGTTTCAGATTCACCAGATTCAGGGGCCTGGACTACAGACTTACTGGATCACATTTTCTGAGATCAGGACCTGGAATCTGCCCATGCAATGATTTTTTCCAGTGAACCATGTGGGCAGGGCACCTTAACGTTTAAGAACCATTGTTTGGGATCCGTGTTGCTCAGAGACATTGTCTGCTCCCTCCGGCTGCCCGCTCTCTGTTGTACTCTCACTCTGCTATACCAAGGAGGGGGGCCAAGAGGTAGGTAGAAATAAAGCCCCTTGCCTACTCCTCCCTTATGTACAACCCCCAGGCACCTGCTCTCACTTATACACTCTCTACTTCACAATCCATTTCCATATGATAAGAACACTCAAGTTTTCTTCCTAGTTTTCATTCACAGGTAACACACTGCAGCCAACAGATAGTGGTTACTCCAGCATCCTTTGAAAGACTGCCAGAGATGTCAATTTCTCCACAATCCCTTGTTTGACTAACTCTCTCTATTCTGAATAGTTTTGAATTTAGTGAAGACTGGAGAAGAGAGATGAGATAGGGAAGGGGAGGAGGAGAGAGAGAGAGTGGATTAATAAATCTGGAGGCTCTGATCAAATACCCATTGTATTACTCACCATTCTACCCTACCCCCTCCCACATCCTCGCCTCATCTACACCATTCGGAGTATTGGCTCCATTCCTATTCTTATCCACTTTTGTCCATTCTTTTAATCATAGCGATACTTGCAGACCCATTACCCATCCTGCAACAGTCTATTGAGGAAAGATGTGAAGCTGGGTCTTAAGGAGTTCTACTTCACTCTTAACCATTCCTCAACTCCCTCGAAATTCCTGTAAGTTATTCTATCTTGGGACTGTTACAGTCATTTCTTTGAAGTCCTTGTAATTTGCCTTGAAGCTGCGTTGGCTTTTGACACCAACAGGGCCAATGACATTTGCAACCCAAATCTCAGGCTGTTCACATGCCTGCACTAAAGGGGTTTATTATAAACTAGCAGCTGTTGGGTTAAGAATGGCTGAATGTTACATCTCAGTGACACCAAATAAATCACTTATGTTCCGTGTGCTCTAACAGAAGTTACCAATGCTCTGTGTTCAAATTTGCCCCCTTGTATTTTAAGTGTCTCAACTTCATTAGAGTATGTTACCTCTTTGGGCACTACAATGCTTTCTTCTTGTCACTGCTCACAGTGTTCTATCAACAGCCATTGGTGCTTTCATTACCTACTTGACAACTAAATTTAGTTATCCATATGTATGGAGTCTTCCTCTGCCTGGGTAGTTTGCTGATTCTGGAAATTCTGCCAATGGAATAAACTGCAGCTCTTTCCTCTCTGGAATCCTCCCAACGTCTTTCACAGCTGTGTTATTCATTTACTCTCCTCAGGACAGGAGGAGGAGGCTCAATTGTGCCCTTTTCTACCCTACCCTGGTCACATCTGCGACCTTCAAATTCTTCACAACTGAGGGTCCTCACCAAACAGCACAGGGTACTTAACTGACACCAGAACCCAGAGGTAATTCAGGAACATGGGTGGCAGAGCAGCCCATGGAGCAGAAGAGAGTGTGGTGTTTAGGTGATGGAAACTCGGTTTTCATCATTCTCTGAATAGAAAAGGCATTTTCACAAAGCCCTGGTCCTAGGGGGGGGCTGTCCCTTCCCCGCTGGCCCCCAAAGCCCTTGAGAACAAGGTGATTCTATTCACTGGAAATGATGGTGCCTTGGTGAAAGATGGGTGACATTTTCCCCCTTGGCTGATGCTCCTGAGAGCAAGGTTTCAGTTTGCTCTCTACAGCCCCACACCATCCCCATCTCTCCACATCCCAACCCTCACCATCTTTAGAACCCACAATAGTGCCTGGCTTGTGCCAAATTCAGGGAGGCAATTTTCTAGCTGAGCCAAAGAACCACCTTCAACTCCCCTAGAACATTCAGGATCCTCTGAAGGTCTGTTTAGTCACTCTTCTTAGAGCACATGTCTCTGTCTACATTGTTTGGTGGTAGGTTGCTTGCCAAATTTTGTCATTGTTTCATTTATTTATTTTATCATTGCTTAATTTCATGTTAGGTCTCTCCAACAAGAACAATCAAGGCTATCGTTCTTTCTCAGTGTGCTTTGCTCAAGTATGTTACACTGAATTTTTACAACGATCCTTTGAGAGTGGTGCTATTATCCTTATTTTAAAGATGAGAAAACTGAACATCAGAGAGGTTAAAAAACATTCCCAACGTTCCACAACTAGTGAGTGGTGAGGTCCCAGCTTGGAACCTAGGGAGTGTGACGCCAGGGCCTGTGTGCTTAAACACAAAATATACTTGTATCTAGAAAATAAACTTCCTGAGATCAGACACTCTTGAATTCCTGACAGGGAAAACACAGAGCTAAGCATATGGAAGATGGCCAATCAATATTTGGTAAGTAATTATTTCATCATTCAGAATTTTTTAGATCCCTGAGAGACCAAATTGTGTATATTTCTTTTATATTTTTCCATTGCTGCTCAAGTAATGCTTCCTAACTAACCAACCAGCCAAGTAGAGCAGACCTTCTCTGATTGAGTTCCATTGACTAAGCCAGCGTTCTGCAGCAAGACTGGTCTTCAGGAGGCTGTCCTTGGGGCAGAGCTAAACCAGAGCGCCCCCAGGTGTTTGACCTCATTTCCAGTGCTCCCCTCTTTCCACATCCCAGGGCACTGGAGAAGTATGGGAGAGGCAAACCTGAGCCAAGGGATTGAGTTTGAGCTCCTGGGCCTCACCAGTGACCCCCAGCTCCAGACGCTGCTCTTCATGGTGTTCCTGGCCATGTACATCATCACGCTGCTGGGGAATCTGATCATGTTCCTTCTGATCCACGTGAGTGCCACCTTGCACACACCCATGTACTCCCTTCTGAAGAGCCTCTCCTTCTTGGATTTCTGCTACTCCTCCACAGTTGTCCCCCAGGCCCTGGTGAACTTCTTGGCCGAGAGGAAGGTGATCTCCTATCCTGGCTGCATGGCTCAGATGTTTTTCTATGCGGGTTTTGCCACCAGCGAGTGCTATCTCATTGCCGCCATGGCCTACGACCGCTATGCTGCTGTTTGTAACCCCCTGCTCTACCCCATCACCATGTCTCCTAAGGTCTGTGCCTCTCTGATTGTGGGCTCCTACAGCGCAGGATTTCTCAATTCTCTCATCCACACAAGCTGTATCTTTAGTCTGAAATTCTGTGGCGCCCATGTGGTCACTCACTTCTTCTGTGATGGACCACCCATCCTGTCTCTGTCTTGTGTGGACACCTCACTGTGTGAAATCCTGCTCTTCATTTTTGCTGGTTTCAACCTTTTGAGCTGCACCCTCACCATCTTGGTCTCCTACCTCTTAATTCTCATCACCATCTTGAGAATGGACTCAGCCCAGGGCAGATTCAAGGCCTTCTCCACCTGTGCTTCCCACTTCGCTGCTGTGTGCCTCTTCTATGGCACAACTCTTTTCATGTACCTGCGCCCCAGGTCCAGCTACTCCCTGACCCAGGACCGCACAGTTGCTGTGATCTACACAGTAGTGATCCCAATGCTGAACCCCCTTATCTATTCTTTGAGAAACAAGGATGTGAAAGATGCTTTAAGAAAGGTTTGGGGCAGAAAAATAATGGAATGATCTCAGTTCATCACCACATGTCTTTAGAAAGCTGAGGGAACTTTATGTGGCATCAACCTGAGCATAGTCCCATGCTCTCCCTGTTCACAGGGGGCACTCTCTGGTCTGCAGAGGCTTCTGCATCTACCTGCCACAGAAAGAACCAATGGCATCACAGAGACTAAAAAGAAGGGAGGAGTGTCTGCTTATTGCATAAAATTGAACTCATTAGCAATAGTCATGCCTTTGTTCAAATGCTTCATTCATATTTCCATGTTTTCAAATATTTTATTATTAGAAACTGATATTTATATTCTATAATGAAGTTCTCACCTTAACTAACCTGAAGACCTTCACTGCTTGGGGAAGTCCTCCCCATTCTCCATAATCTCCTCTTTATAAAAACTAACTCCTTAAAAATTTTTTTTGATTAATTATTTGAACGATACTGTAACAACAATGTCAAAACTCATGTGTTCTTTTGTCTTTATTGGCTTTTTTCCTGGCCAAG